ACATGTAAGTACTGATCATAAATTGTTGTTTTAAGCTAACTCATTTTGCAATGCTTTGTTAAATGCAGCAATAGATAATCAGAACAATATAAACAATACAAAAAAGTGATATGATGAAAACCCAAGTCCCTACTCCGGGTTTGTCAAGATATAACATTTTGTCATGTTTGCTCAGATTTTTTAAATGAAATAAAACATCATGTGAAAAGCTGTAGTATCCAATGTTCCTTATTCTATTTCTTTCTTCCTCTTCCCAGATACCCATGATCTTTAATTTGGTGTTAATTTTTTTCATGTAGCTTTTGTATTACTATGGATATACCAATAAACAATGTACATTATTTTTCATGATTTAATTTTATGCAGCTAATATCTCACTGAAGGTATTATTCTGCCACTTTCATTTTATTTACATTATATTCCTGACAGGTAATGTACTGATACGTATACCCAATTTCTTAGATTTAATGCTTTATAGTACTCTATTTATAGTACAAAATACTGTATCCACTTCTCTGTTAATAGACTTCAGATTTGTTTCTAATTTTCCACTATTACAACCAATATACTGTTTTTAGGTGCCTCCTTATGAACGAGTTTCTGTGGCTTATGAAACAGCCATGAGAAGGCTATATCATAGGATATGATCATAATTAACATTAATATTTTGCCAAGTGGCTTTCTAAAATTGTAATATTAGTTCCACATCATTCTTGAAACAAGACATAATACAGTCAGAGAAAAACAAATACTGCATGATCTCACTAATATGTGTAATCTAAAAAAGCTAAACTTATAGAAACAGAGTAATTGGTGGTTGCCAGGGGCTGAGGGTGTGGGTAGAAGATGTTTATCAAAGGGTACAAATTTTTAATTATAAGGTGTTCTGGGAATCTAAAGTACAACAGGTTGGCCAGAGTTGACAATACTGTTGTACTCTTGAAATTTGCTGAGATAGTGGATCTTAAATGTTCACAGATACAAATAAAGTTAAATATGTAATGTGGTGGATGTGTTAACTAACCTTATTGTACTAATCATTTCATACTATATACACATATCAAATTAAAAAACCAGAAAAATAATAACAAAAAAATTTTACCACAGTAATTTTCCAGAGAAATTGAATAAAATCTTGACTTACCCATTTTCTGGTCCTGTAACTATGAACAAATCATGTAACATTTTCATGCTTCAATTTCTTTATCTGTAAAATTTGGGAATTACTATCTAACTACAAATGGGTTTTTTTCTGAACATTTAAATGATATTAGCCATGAATAAGGGATAATTGATATTATTATAATCACCATCATAATTATTACTATTGATATAATGGTATCAAATATGCCTTTATGGCTTAATGAACTTACAAACTCATTACATGTATTTTACTTTCACTTTATTTCCTGTGTAGGTGAAGGAAGATTAGCAGTGTTATAGGCTGAATTATGTCTCCCCTACCACATTTATATTCTGGAGGCTTAGCCCCCAGTGCCTCAGGATCTGACTCTGTCTGGAAATTAGGGCTTTAGAAAGATAATTGACTAAAATGAAATCTTTAGGGTGGGTCTTAATTCAATGTGACTGATGTTCTCACAAGAATGGGAAATTTGAGCACAGATGTGCATGCATACATTAGACATAGACCATCTACCGGTACAGTGAGATGGCCGTCAACAAAACGTGGAGAGAGGCCTCAGACAAAACAGCCCTATGGAGCCTGGATCTTTGACTTTTATTCTCCGTAAATGTAATAAAATTGACTTCTGTTGATTAAGCCAAACAAATAAAGATAAAAGACATTTAGCACAAAGTAGGAACTTGGCAACAAATTTAACAATATGTTTAATTAGGGGCACTATTGGTAATGTATATCTAATATTTAATATTCTACTTAAAATTTATAGAACATTCTTCATACACATTCACATGAACTATGGCTTTCTTTGGAATCAGCTATAAAATAATTCTTGTAAAATTACTTTGAGAACTCATTCCAGAATTCAAGGTCTAAAAAATAAAATACCACTTCATACATTATTAGCCACTTGCAAATGAGTCTACAAAGTATTTATTAAATTTAATTGCTTGGATTCCAGGCCCTTAAAATATATTTTTTCTACTTATTATAAAACATAAGACTTTCAAATGAAATAAAAGCTGATACTAGAGAGCTAATATTTTTATTACAATTTAAATTAATGAAGGATTTTTGGAGAGTGTGAAGTATACATGTACTTCTTCAATATTTAACTTGAACATGGAGAATTGTAAAACTGTTTAATTAATAATTAAAATGCTGTAATATTAGAATTTCCAATTTTGTGCATAGAAACTATTCATATAAGATACAAATATTGCCCAAATTTTGTTATCTTTCAAATAAGTACACTGGCATAACTAAATCTGAATTAACTATATATCAAATAAAAATAATTACTTATATTGGAGGCAGTATCAACTGATATCATGAAATAGTTATTTAAATAGACTCTGTTTGGGTACCCTGGATTATTATTTTTATGTAGGAGCCATTAATACAACAGGTACAGTTTTGAGATGCCTTAAGAATGAATATAAACATCTATGACCAGACAATAATAACAGGCCAGCATACAGGTAAAGTTTCAGTACAAGCATTGTTTTAATACCAGTAAGAAAAGGCATGACTAGAGAACATAAAAAAGATTCTTCTTTTCTCCTATATTTTAAATATAGGAGACAAGAAAATTCATTAACCTAAAAACAATTGATAGCTTCTGTATTTTTGAAAGCAAGATGCTTCAACTGGTCGACATACACAAACTTCCAGATTTTGAAGCAGTAATTCACATTATTACCCTTTTCCTTAAAATTTTTTTTTATTTACTTATTTTTAGAGAGAGGGTAAGGGAGAGATAAATAGGAGAGGAACATCAATGTCTTGTTGCCTCTCATGTGTCCCCCACTGGGGGACCTGGTCTGTAACTCAGGCATGTGCCCTGCCTGGGAATCCAACTGCCAACCCTCTGGTTTGTAGGCCAGTGCTCACTCCACTGAGCCACACCAGTCAGGACATATTGTAACCCTTTTCAAATGGTTAAAATTGGTTCAATATTTACCAGAAATAATTAAGGAAAAGAAAGAACAGGTTGAACGCTTTAAAATTATTCATTTTATTACCACACAAAATTTTTGTGTGCCAAGCTATTTGGTCATTTGATAAATTGATAATGAATACCCTCAAAGGAGACTCGAGGTCAACATAATAATGTATAGAAACTGACAATGGAGAAGGTTATCAAATGGGATAGAGGCATCACACATTGGCCACAAATGTTTGTTCACTGGTTTGCTTGAGTATTCTATGTATTTTTTAAAATATTCACTCAAAGACATGCTTATTGGATTTGAGAGAGAAGTGAAGGGAGGGAGAATGGGAGGGAGAGAAACACTGATTGGATGCCTCTTGCTCACACCCTAACTGGGACCTTAGCTGCAACCCAGGCATGGATTCCTACCAGGAATGGAACCCTCAACATTTTGATATATGGGATGGCACTCGAACCCAGCCACACTGGCCAGGGCTGTATGTGTCATCTTTTTTCTTAACTTTATTCTCTACTATAGTTGTCCGTGGCCTTTGAAACTCTAATGAAAGCTGGGAACAGCCCCACAGAAATATGCACACTCCCACACATACAAAATTTTGTGTTCATTTTCAAGGAATTTCATAGTCATTGTGGACTCCGAAGTGTCCATCCTAACATTTTAGGAGTAGGGCGATCTGTATTATTTGCATCCCACCAAATCAGATATAAATCTTTATGATAAATTTATAAAATGTGGCTAGCTTAATCTAATGATGTTGGGGAGTCGTGTACATGGACCCAATTCAAGTGCTATAAAAAAAAACAATCAAAGACTTACGTTAATTTTAAAGAAGAAAGTTACAGGTATAAATTTAACATCTTCACCAGTGTGCTCTCTCTTTTCCCCTCCCTCCTTCCCTGCCCTCCTCTTGCTCAGCATTTTGTTTTTTTGTGATCTCTCCTCTCTCTCCAGCCATCCCTCCACCCCAAGCAGCAAACCTCTGGAATTCAATTCTGTCTGTTGAGTGTCACAAAAAGTAAAAGGGATTGACCAGATATGGTGATTTTGCCCCAACTCTATCCTTCTTTTCAGGAGAGGACGGAGTAGCCCAGCGGAGGTCCTGTGTTTGCTAGGTGGGGGCGGGAATTCGGTGTCTTCACCGCAACAGCTTGGGAACTGCGTCCACTTTCTAACAGTTTGCGAGTCCGCTTAGTGAGTTGCAACCCCTCTAATCAGGAAGCATCTGGTTTCTTTCGCCTCCAGCGAAAGAGGAGAGTTTCAAAGGTTGCTGTCTGTCCAGACTTAATCCCTTCTCCACACCACGGTCTCCCACCCCTTCGCCCCGCAATCGCTGTCATTCCGTCCTTTCTCCGCCTCCAGCTACGGAAAGGGGTGCAAACAGGTCCTCGAACAACCTCAGGAGGGAGGGGCTTCATTGGTTGGATCCAAATCCCAGCGGGAAGGAGGGGCACCTGGAGGGAGAAGTGGAAGCTGAGTAGTGCTGTGGGTCGGGACGAGCTTGGGGTGGGGGCGCCGCGGCCTCGAGGAGGGGCGGGAGACCCTGATCTTGCTACCCAGAGTTAAAAGGTCGGGAAGAACTTGCTCAGCTTTTCATTCAAAGCACACGGCTATCAACCCCGGGAGCTTCAGGGTGCAGGCACGAAAGGGTGCTGAGCTGTATACAAAGCTCTCCATCCACATTGGGAGCTCAGCGAGGAAAGGAGGGGGCGAGGAAAGGCAGGTTCCGCCTCCCCCTGGCCCGCGTGCACACACGCGCCCACCGCAGCTCAGGCTGGCTGAGCGCGGGCTAGTGTGAGCGCGTGTGCGCACGCAGTGGAGAGCCTCTGCCCTCGCCTGACACCCTGCTCAGGGCATCTGGAGACCCTGGAAAACTGACCAGGCTTAAAGTATGGCATGTTGCAAAGATGGTTTCTGCCAAGAAGGTACCCGCGATCGCGACGTCCTTCGGGGTCAGTTTCGCCCTCCTGCACATCCTGTGCCTGGAGGCTTGGTGAGTTCTCTCGGGTACTGGGGGGCAAGGGGAAGGTGGAGAAGTGGCCCGCTCCCAGCCCCCTTTGGCCGCCCACCCCTCCCAGGGCAAACCGGACTCTCCTGTCTTTTCTGTAAGGTCAGGGGCCAGAGCCAGGCTTTTCGGTGACCACGTAAACACGGAGAGCATAAGGGTGCAAGACAGCTCGGATGTTGGGGTTTGTGTGCATTGGGTGGTCTTTCCTGACCCTTTCTCTCCCTCATCCCTCAGCTCTGCATCCCTTAGCTTGGGGCAAGCGACTCTTTCCCTAGAAGATAATGTTTCCACCTGTTCTCTGATTCTTAAAATAATCCCTTTCCCCTGCCCCCCCCCTTTTTTTCATTTGCAGTTTAAACGAATCCCCAGGACAGAACCAAAATGAGGATAAATTATGCCCGGAAAATTTTACCCGCATCCTGGACAGTTTACTCGATGGTTATGACAACAGGCTGCGTCCTGGATTTGGGGGTATGAAAGATTTCAAACGCTGAAGTGTGTCCTGTCTGTCCCTCTTTCGGTCTGCCTGTCTGTCTGTCTGTGGGAATATCATTAGGTATGCCTCGCGTGTAAAATGAAAATTCAGTCTATCTCTTTCTCCCCCTTTCCATCCCACCCTCCCTTTACCCCTCCCTCCCTCCCTCCTCTCTTTGGATTAGACCTCTGACAGAAGACCGCCCCCAACCACACTTACCCAGGTCCCTGCCCCCTCAGAAGCTTTGCCTCTCCCCCACATTAATTACCTCCCGGTACTTGACTGCTGGGTGGGGGAGGTTGGAAGGGAAGAGTCAAAAATGGAAACTCAGGGCTCAGCTGCCCTGCTACCTCCCTTGTGCCCCGAGAATGGGGTTTCCCTGAACCTGGCCATTTCACTCAGAAGAGGCTGCATTTGAAGTAGCTGAGCGATGTTCCTTTTCTATCTCGTGGTGTCCGTCCCCCAGCCAAAACCTCGGCCTTGTTCTACCTAGGACACGAATCTGGGGCACAAAGCTGCCTGCTCTGCTAGAGAACCCAGTCCTTTCCTCTTCTCTCCTAAAGTGGGATGAATTTTTAATTTATTTGGGGAGGGGGCAGTTGCTTCCTTCCTAAGACTTTGGAGTCAGAAATGTTTCTTCCTTCAATAAATACAGGGTCCAACACTAATAAAAACCCCCTTTTTAAATTAAAAAGTGTTTTATTAAAAGATTATAAGCATGTAATTCTGTAACATAACAATATTACACTCAAGCACACCAAATGACATTTTAGGTGAAATGTTCAAATTACAACTATAAATTATTACACCCATATTATTACCCTACCCACCACAGTCAAGCAGGTGTTACTTCTGCGGGATTCTGCACTTATAAAAGGTCTACTAGAAGTGCATCCGTAACAGTACCGTTGCTCTTTTTATATTCATATTCCCTTTGCTTACATAATGAGAATCTTTGTGGCAGGCATTGTGCTGGGCACTAGGTTCAAAGAAATCTCAAGTAGCAATTTGTAACCTCAGAGAAGGCAAGTGACTTCAGCGGAAGTGTGGGCCCTGGTTTTGTAACAGGCAAGTCCCTGTTTTTTCCATTATACTGAGCTTGATATCTCTCAGGAAATGAGTTGAAGATATAGGGTTTGTCTCAAAGGAGCTTTTGTATTCAAGTAGTGTTAATACTAACAATGACAACTAGTCTTATATGTATTTATTTAAATTTCCACATATATCAGAATTTTGTAGGCATTACTGTTCAACCCTCACAACAATCTTGAGTGAAAGCCATTACTATCCCCAATTTACAGATGAGGAGATTGAGGTTTGGGGAATTAAGTAAGTGGTCCAAGTTCACAGTAAGTGGCATGGGCATGATGTGAACCCAGTTCAGGTTGCATATTTAAAAGACAAGCCCACACACATTGGGAGGATATCAGATACTAGGTGATGGGTATCACAAAATATGTATTACAAGCATGGAGAAATGTAAGCTTCCTATCGAGGGTGTGTAGGAGATAAGATGATAGGAAAATGGAGAATGCAAAAGGGAGCAGAACATTTCTGAGACATAGGACAGAATTAGACATGATTTAGAAGGAGTGTAGTCCCGGGTTACAAAATCTGTTGGAGAAAAAATAGAATTGAATAAAGTAGAACTGGATGGTTCTTTGGAGTCTAAGTTTTGTTCTCTTTTAACAAAGACACTGAGGACTGGAAAGGGAAAGAGATTTATTCAGGGACCCAGCCTATGAAAAATGATAGGCTGGACTCAGGCCAGGTCTTCTGATCCAAACCACTCTTTCCTGGATTTTTTTTGAGAAGGTTATGGGGATCCATTGAGAGTATTAATTCAGTCTTTGTGTGTTGTCAGCAATAAAGGATAAAAGATTCTCCTGGTTCTTTTCACACCGCCTCTCCTGGGGTAGGATACTCAGCACTGCCATTGGCTTTATGCAAATTTGGAAAGAGGCTTTCTTATGAAAGTGAATCACGTGTCAATGCATGATCTTTCCTAAGTGACTGGGAAATGATCACTTTAGATCAAAAATAATTTTGTGGAGAATGTGTCATGTGGTGTGATACCATTTATATCATATCGATGAAAGAGGATTTATCTGCTCATAAAGATTTTAAACTTATTGAAGTAAAGAAAAAATAACAGGGGTATGAAATTTTGTATTTTTAAAATATTCACTCAATAACTGATGTATTTGAACATAAATAATGGTGAAAATTTCTAATCGAAGCTATATGGTTTTATCATTAAATGTTGAGAGCTAAAATAATACCTGCCCAGTTGGTTATGATCTAAGTTATGCAAAAGGAAGAAGGGATCCACTGTAAATGGATCCTTTTTACCAACTATCCTCTCCCATAGCCTCACACAGACGATAAAATGAGTGAAATCCATCTGTAAGTCGTTACTGGATGCTGGTAGGTGCAGTACTGCTGAAATGTCTCAAAGGCGTTAGTAGTCATCTGACATGTCAGTGCCAAGTGATCTGCTTTACCACCTGGAGGTACTTTATATCTTTAAGGGAGGGAGTTGAATTCACCTTTCTTCAAGTGTTAGCAGTTGATTAATCAGTAAAAATTTACTATAGCACAGTTTTTTGACTCTGCTCATTAATATTTGTGGTAAGCGTGATTCATTTTTTAGAAGTGGGTCATCGTCTGTACATGCATAGTATTCCAAATGTGACAAAGCAATAGTAATTCTCACCTGCAGAAAATGTGTGATCTGTTTACAGGATGTTGTAAATGAAATACAATTCACTGAAAATAATAAGATAATGTATTCTTAGCATGGACTCTTGGTTGCCACAAGTTTGATCCCTTCCTTCTCTGACATTTCATGCTTTGCAGAAAGCTTGGCATTTTTAAAATAAAATGAAAACAATTCAGGTTTTGACCAATGTGCTAAAAATATGGATTTACTTCCTGCTTCTTTTAATCTGACTTTCACTCTTTGTGGAGCATTTACTTTGTATCTGTTTATACAACTTAGCTATGTTCCATTTAAAGTAAAGCTAAAAGCAAAGATCTGAATTGAAATTGGATGGTTTGTGATTGCTCAGTAGGCCAGGCAGGGGTTGAAATAGATTTAGAAACTAAATTACATATTTTTAACTCAGCAGCACAGCTTGCAATGGGGGAACTAAAAGGAACTGAAACGGTTCTCTCCTTTTCATCCCTCCAGGATCTCCTCTCCCTTGTTTCCCACATTCTCCAATTGGAGAAAAAAAGGGGGAAAGGTGAGAAGAGAAGGCAGGAGGCATGGTGTGAAAAGCTAGATTGGGACTTCTGAAGGGGCGAAGTTCTTTCAGCCTCTGACAAATCGGCCTGCTAGCATCCTGAAGTAGCTTCTACCTGCTTAGAAGTGGCACACCAGTAAACCCTTCCACAAAGGAGCTAGAAAAGTATCCCCCCTGTGCTCTTATCCACTTTCAACACTGTTATAAGCCTTCTGAAGGAAGCATAGCTGGGGTACTGGAGGCCAGGAAATAGTTCAGGAAGCCAGTCCTTACCCATTTGCCATTTACTGAAGGGTTACACAACATTTGGTTCACCTCAGTCTTTTGATGCACCTGATTTGGCACATGCTTCTGCTATAGGTGATCATCTTTCACAACTTCTCTGAAATGGAAGTGACGCATTAGGGTCGATTTTGCAAGGCTGCTCACTAGCATAGCAGGATTTCACATTTGCAGAGTCTTCTAGAGTTTTGAAAATATTTTCACATATGATGGATAGTAAGTTTTTTACAGCAAAATGAAGAAATAAGCAGGGCAGGCACCATTTCTGTTAGAAAGGAGGCAGAGAAACTGTCCCATGAATCGCCCAAGGACCCTTGAACTAGTAAACGGTAAGACCACAACTCACCTCAGTCTGTAAAACCTTGGTCCAGCTGCTAACGTTGCTACGTCCACTTCTAAGGCTTTCTTCCATCCTCTTTGCTACTCTTTGCGAAGAGTCAAATTTTCATTAACATTTTTCCTTGTTACTAAGTAAGTAGGTCATTAAAATAAGCAAAACTACATTTTCCCCCAAAGGAGCAAAAGGAGAACTTTCATTTTAAAGCTTTAATAACGTTCGTTATAAGGTGGGAAAGCCATCATGGAAAAGTGTGTACGCTTAGGTAAATTTGGAATAACTTTTCCATACAAATGAGAATAACCTTACAATGTTTTCAAATAGTCTATAACCTAACCTAAAAATTAATGTGTCATATGTTAGCTTTATTAATTAAATATCAACAGAGCATGTATTTAAAAATATGCAGAGAGATGGAAAAAACCCATATCCACAGGGCAACAGAAAAGTGCAGCTTTATTCTCTTCTGATTTGTCATATTCATTCATTCATTCATTCATTCATTCATTCATTTGTTGACCAGTAGGTATTTAGAGACTACTATGTGTCAGGAGCAATGTCAGGTTGTGAAGATATTATTTTGAATCAGACACAAGCCTTGGTGAAACTAACAGCTAAGCAGTGTAGAGGGATAAAAATAACAAAGAAACAAATAGCAAAATAGAGATAATGCTATGAGACAATTCAATAGCATGTTAACACAAAGAATAAATAGGGTGAAGGATCTCTTTCAAATGCTGTAGTTAAGGAAGTCTTTTAAGTTGAGACCTAAAGGTGCCAGACATGAAAAGGATAGGCAAAAGTTGTTCTCATGAAGAAAAAACAAACAAACAAACAAACAAACAAACAAACAAAAGTGCCAAGATTCTAAGGCAGTTAGGAGATTAGTGTGATTTAGATAGTGAAAGGAGTTCATTGTGCCTTCACCAGAAAGCAGAGGAAGAGACTCGCAGGACTAGCTTTGGGGGTGGGAAGCAGAGGCCAGATCAGGTAAGGCCTTTGAGGATCCTGTAAAGGAGCTTAGATTGTTCTTTTCGTGAACTTGGAAGCCAAAGGAGTTTTTTAGGTGGGGGGAAGGACATGGTATGCCTTCCTCAGATTGTAGTATGACCCTTCTGGCTAACAAATA